ATATATGTCCGTTTTTAAAATTTCGAATCACAGTATATGCAGAAAAAAATTGATTTTTTTTTACTTTATGTATTATATGATGATTCAAAACAGTTAAAAATAAATCAAACAAAGATGATAGGAGAATCATAATTATAAATCTTAATCAAATCTTATAAATATCTAAATTATTAAATATGGAATATCCGGTGTATGAGTTGAGTTAAATATAACCCGATCCAAGTATTTTTTTGTAAAGGAATTTAAAAAATGGGTCGGATATCCGATTGACCCAAAAACATTTTTACCCATCCGTCACAAAAGTGTTGCAAAAATACTAGTATAGATGCTGGGATTTGTATCAACGGAGTTTTGTACTATATAGCGGATCCAAATAACAACTTTCCAAAACCTAAGTTTCGAAAACCTTATACCATAGTTTGCTTCGATTTTATATCTGAGAAGTTCACATCTATTGACCATGCTCTGGACAACAATATAGGCTGGTGCAGAACTATGTTAAATTACACTAATAAGTTAGGTGTAATGCGTGGTGATGATAATGGACTTTTCAGCGGAACAACTACAAGTCTTGAGTTGTGGGATCTAGATGATGTTGAGAAACATAAATGGTTGAAGAAAATATATGTATTGCCGCCGATGTGGAAGAATCTAGTTGCGGATACAAGGTTGTGCATTGTCGGAATGACTAGTAACGGTGAATTTGTGTTTTCTACATACGTTTTATCTGATCCTTTCTATATTTTCTACTACAATGCGGAGAAGAATACTATCGTAAGAGTTACAATCCAAGGAATTGGACCCGTTAGTGGTCAAGACATTTACACTTTTATAGACCACATAGAAGATGTGAAGCGTATGTGAGTGCTTAGGATGTATTTCGGTCTATTAGATTTAAAAAGACCATTATTCGTGGGTTTTCTTTATATTTTATTTTAACTTTGTTTTAGAATTAAATCTATTTCTACATGGATTTGGATACACAAAAGTAATTTGGTTTGCTGTTTACGTCATAAACTTAGAAACTGTATAAATTATGTTATTTTTTAATTAAAAATAATAATTTGTAAAATTACATAAAATTCAGTTTGTTATTTTTCACTTTTCTCATTCCTTGTTTAATATATAATCCGAATCTTCTTAATCGGTATCTTGAAACTATTTTGTTCTTCAATCACCTTAACCTTGAGCGTTTCTTTTGTTTCCCTTGCTCATTTGCTTAAACACTTGTGTCCTTTTCCACCAATACTTTTTGTGTTGTTCTTTGTGTCTCACTGCAGCAATTTCGTATATATATGCAATAATTCATCTTTTTAAGCTCATATTCCGCCTTCAATCCAATACCTATGAACCTTGATTTCTTCACTCTCTGTTTACTTATGATCTAAAGTATGCTACAATAGCGTAGCAACTAAAGCCAAAACGTCGCTCCAAATTTCTGCAATTCCTATTTTATCCTTTATCTAATATCTTTGCTAAATTTTGTTATTAAACTTGAGGACTAATTAAGATACATGTACATCTCAATGATATGGACCATATGGTGGGGCAATTAACATGCTTTAGAAGAAATCTGTTCACTACCTCCTTATAATTTTGGTTGGTTAGGGTCAAACTGGCCTCAAGATATGAGGAATCTGAGAATGCCTGGCTAATTAATTATCTTATTGGGCCCATTCAACCCAAATTGAAACAATGTTTTGTCCCACATCGCTTACCTTAGCATTCAAACGAGTGTTTATATATCAATAGATCAGTCGAGTTACAGATTGTCACCTTCGCTAAAACTGGAATGATACAGAGAAGGTTAGCATGGCGGTTAGCATGGCGGTTAGCATGGCCCTCTGCAAGGATATTGACAAGCTTTAATCTAGATATTGTCCTAGTATTTTTAGTTTTCGTTTCTTGATCGTTTTTTGTTTTTTCCTGGTTTTCTTGAATAGTTCGACTACGGGAAGAATATAGTGTCGAACTCGTTGGTGTACTTGAAATGTAAAAAACCCTAATTTCGTAGTTTTACGTTGCTCCATAATTTGACCCTGGATTTTATGTTGACGAAATCGTAAGAACAATGAAGACTTGGTTTTTAAATCGAATATATCTTATAAGAACTGCGTTCATTATTGTAACTCCGATGATCGAAACCAGGATGCCTTCGTTAGTCTATTTCCTTGGTACTTTTTGGGTTGTACATGTCTTAGGACGACTACTTCTAGTACTACTTTAGTTAGGACTACCATCTCTCTTTGCTGGCAAATTTTCACTGATTAAACATCTTAAACCTCAAGTCATTGACTCTGACATATGTTTTAGTTGCTGTCTCATCTTCTGGAAATCTGATTTGCCTTTTAATCCCTCTCATTCTCAATTCCGATTCAGAATTAGTAGAAGCTTTTCTCACTTTATCAATCCAACTAAATTAATTAACATCACATGTATGCACCAAGCTGAATCATGGGTTGCTCTGTACTAATGTTTTATGGCTCAAACATGGATGTTATGATTCAAAGGTGATGATTTATACGCCTAGCACAGGACAGTCCATAAGATTACCCAAAGTGAAAACAAGGAGTGTTCATGTGAAAACCGTTCTATCTAAATCTTTTCAACATTTTCTACTACAATGTGGAGAATAGTACTATCCTAAGAGTTAGGATTCAAGGAATTGGACCCGTTAGTGGTCAATGTTAGAGGTTAATTGAGTTTGGTCGCTTGCTTTATTTAATTATGTTTGTTTGTTAAGTTTATACATTAAGAGGTGTGTCTTGTCTTAAGGGTAGTTATGTTAAGAGTTAGAAGTGAAGAGTCACAACCCTTGTTATTAGTGTTGTTTGGTCGTGTCTTTTGAATACTATAAGAACACGTTGTCTTTGTTTGTAACACAAATTCAGATTCTCAATTAATAAAGTTTCAGTTTTCCCAACTCTGTTTCTGCCTCTCTCGTCAAGTCTCTCTGTTTATTTATCAAAGTCCTTTGATAATCCAACATGGTATCAGAGCTCTATTGATTCGAGGGCCAATTCGAGTACAAAGACAAGAAAAATTCAGAAAAGAAGTTCTATCAAAAATCTGAGATCATGGAAGCAACAACGCTTCAAGTGATTCCCATATTTGATGGGAATAATTATGCTTTCTGGCGGATTAAGATGAAGACCATCTTAAGAACACGGAAGTTGTGGGAAGTGGTGGAGACTGGTGTTCCAACTATGCCGACGCAAGGAGATCACAGTCCAGAAGCCGTTCAATTGAAAACCAAATGGGAGAATTCATCATCAAAAGATCTGATGGCGTTGCAACTGTTGCAAACTGCTGTCACGGATCAGATTTTTCCTCGGATAGCACCAGCAGCCACATCAAAGGATGCTTGGGATGCATTGGTGTCAGAATTTGAAGGATCTCCACAAGTACGATTGATCAACTTGCAATCGTTGAGAAGGGAGTATGAAAACTTGAAGATGAATGAAGAAGACAACATCAAAGTTTTCACAGAAAAGTTAATTGATTTGGGAAATCAATTAAGGGTGCATGGAGAAGAGAAGACGGACTACCAAATTGTCCAGAAGATTCTCATATCTCTCCCCGCAAGGTTTGACAGCATAGTGGCTGTGATGGAGCAAACGAAGGATCTAACTTCGTTGCCGGTAACAGAGTTGATAGGTACTTTAAAAGCGCATGAGAAACGCGTAAATATCAGAGAAGACCGATCAACGGAAGGAGCATTCTATGGAGAAAAGTTTGTTTCAAAAGGAAGAAACAAACGTGGCGACAATAGTCAAAATAAGGCCGAGAAATGGTGTGACTTTTGTACGTGTGACAATCACAATGAGAGTGATTGTTGGAGAAAGCAACACAGGGATGTTAGCTTGCCTACGGGTGTAAGGTGCTTTGCGTGTAAGAAGCTAGGGCACGTGGTGAAGAACTGCAAGGTTAGGAAGGCCGAGAGAGCGTACCTAAGTCTAGAAGAAACAGACGAAGAGAGTGACAATGAAGGTCACATGCTGTTCAGTGCAGTTGAAGTAGCATCATCATCAAACGTGAATGATGAGAGAGGGTTTGAAGACTCAACGTATCAAGGGTTGAAGAACTGAGAAGCAAGTGTGGTGTGAGACCGAAACTCAATTAAGGGGGAGTGTTAGAGGTTAATTGAGTTTGGTCGCTTGCTTTATTTAATTATGTTTGTTTGTTAAGTTTATACATTAAGAGGTGTGTCTTGTCTTAAGGGTAGTTATGTTAAGAGTTAGAAGTGAAGAGTCACAACCCTTGTTATTAGTGTTGTTTGGTCGTGTCTTTTGAATACTATAAGAACACGTTGTCTTTGTTTGTAACACAAATTCAGATTCTCAATTAATAAAGTTTCAGTTACAAATCTGTTTCTGTCTCTCTCGTAAAGTCTCCCTGTTTATTTATCAAAGTCCTTTGATAATCCAACAGTCAAAACATTAACACTTTTATAGACCACATTGAAGATAAAAGAGGTGTGACTGCTTAGAATTTCATAAGAATCTTGCAAACATTGCTATATATATAGTTCACTTCGGCTTCTTGTTTCCCTTGCTCACTTGCTTCAAAACTTAAATGTTAGTTCCAATGCTTCTTGTGTATTGTTGCTCTTTGTGTCTCACAAACTCTACTTGAGTGCTTCTATCTTTCTGTTCCACTGTTTTTTTTTTTTCTGCAATTTGTTTCTTAACTTGTGTTTCAAGATTTAATTTTGAATACATATTTTAATGAATTTAAGCGTATACTTCTGTTTGCAATCTTTCAATGAATTTGCAACTATATTTTATTACAAATATTGACTTCAAAAAAACAAATTAATGAAAGAAGCGACTATATAAATTAATGATTAACAAGATAAATTTTGCATCTTAATTATATGTTGTTTTAAAGAAAAGAAAAAAAAAACCAAAAGTTGAAAATTGGGAAAATCATGGAAGAAGCGACTAATATATAGTACCGGTTTGGGAAAATATAGGGTTTTAACTCTTAGTGTTTCCGCCATGAGAAAGGGGCAGAAGCACGTCTCCAAGAAGGACAATGACCACACTCTACCTTTTGAACTCTTTTTTGAAATATTCTCGAGATTATCTGCGAAAACTATAGCGAGGTGTCGTTGCGTGTCGAAGCTCTGGTCTTCTATTCTCCGCCGTCAAGATTTCACTGATTTGTTCCTGAAAATATCTTCGGCTCGTCCGCAACTATTGTTCAGCTTCAAACTCAACAATAAGTGGCTCTTCTTCTCTTTACCTCAGTCTCAAAATCCAGATGGGAACTTGTCTCTTTTAGCAACCAATCATCACATGTGTCTCCACACTAGAACGGGTTCACGTCTGGTCAATGCCCCTGCTCGTGGCTTGCTTTGTACTGAATATATATGGCTCAAAGATGGATTTAAGGATTCAAAGGCGATGGTTTATAACCCTAGCACAGGACAGTTCATATAACATTACCCAAAGTGATAACAAGGAGGGCTGAAGCGAGAACCTATTTAGGGTATGATCCAATCAACAAACAAGTCAAGGTACTGTGCATGTCACTTTGTATAATCCTTAAGAAAGCCGAGGAGCATCAAGTTCTGACATTAGGAACTAAAAATCCTTCATGGAGAAACATTGAATGTTCCCTACCCCATTTCCGATAAGTGGTGGGATTTGTATCGATGGAATCTTGTATTATTTAGCGGATCAGAACAAAGGGACTCCAAAACCTTATACCGTAGTTTGCTTTGATGTTATGTCCGAGAAGTTTGCCAAAGGGAAAAGAGAATAAAGAGAAAAGTTGTGTTCTATTGACATTGAGAAAAGGTATATATATATCCTACACATGAAACCCTAAACATACTTAGGGAAATTAACA